TTCCATTAATTATTTCGCAAGCAAAGACGTACAGATGCGAAACAAGCTGACTGAGAAATTAAAACAGCTAGCGCTAGCTGTAAGGGAAAGAATAATGGAGCGAAGGATGCTTGAAGTGTCTATACGTAATCACATAAACAATCAGAGTTCCCGTCAAACGAACAGTAATGCAATGTTACTGGTTTGTTGACAGTCGATGGACAGTGCGTATTAGTTGGTGGTACCAGCGATAAATTAAGCGAACATTCGGGCGGCGATTCGCATGAGTTGAAAAAGGGGTAGGGTACGAAGAAAGATAAGCAACTCCGTCCAATGAGTCTGGATAAGCCGTGCGGGGTGTGAGCATGCCAGCAGGTTACTACGACCGGCTTCTCACATCGATTCCTTGGACAGACTTGGTTTTCCCTGGTATGCGAAGACATATATATTCAAAAGAAATAGTTAAGCTTACGTTGGCACAATTGATAATTCCATCTTTTAATCGACACACACAGTCGTTGTTGCCTTCACAGATCCGCAAGGCATGCGTATGCTTTACAGTTGATAGTGCGCACAATAGCAGCGCATATGGTTTATTCAGCATTATCCTTTCAGTTGAAAAAGTTCACAAATGTAGAGAATTCATGTAATATAGCGTAGAAACTTTCTATCAGCTTTAACTGGCAGTATTAGCGTGACAAGCGGAGACATCGAAACGAGGGTCGAGTGCACCTTTTTTTCAAAAGGCACATTCAGTTTTTGCCCTTTCTTAATGAACTGGTAGTATTTCATATTTACTAAGAATATCTAAACTATCCAGGCAATCGGTATGGGTTTTTCCTATTAGTAATGTTACTGGAATGCTCCCATACGTCGAGCATAATTATGCTAGGGCCGTTCGTATCAATTTGTATTTTACATTTTCGTATTAAAAACAATTTTTATGCATTTTTGTCCATATGCAAATGCAAAAATGCACACAGCGAAGACCCGTGGTTTGTGTGTTTCTTTGTGTGTATATGTGCGTGAGAGCACGTAACGGGAAAATTACTAACTCGGGAATCAGAAAAGCTGGAAGGCTGAAATGTTAACGGAAATTCCTCGCCTACATATAATTTAAGGGTTTAAAAGTCAGCCCCCAGGTATGGGTGGTTTTCATGTGCGGCACGTAAAACTTTTGATGAGAAAATCGCTAACACGGGAACCTGAAATCTAGAGAGACTGAAATTTTAGGGGGATGTTTCCTGTCTATTTTAAACTCAGGACTCCGATATGCGTGTTCTCAAGTACGGTCACACAAAAGCTTTGACGGAAAAAGTGCTTACTAAATATCTATATAATTTTTAATTAACAACCGTTTTTTTTTTCTTTAAGCAAAAGTTACGACGATTTACGCTGAGTACCCAAGCCAAGTATAGAGCAACAAGCATTCATACAGTTAATGTCCCGGTTGCTGTGAGTTTAGCGCAAAACGCGTGGTTGCACCAGCAAGGCGCAACCTGGATTCAATACCCAAATGTTTAATAAAACTGTAAATTTCTTTTTCAGAAAGTTTCTTTTCCCACAAAAACTTTTGAAAAAGGTACTCTGTTGATTAATTTTAGAGTTGTTTAGAGCTAACCGAAACTCGTTGGCGCCATGAACCTGGCAAGTCTGCTTCCCGCTGTCGTCCAGCAGCGCCACTACGATTTTGTTCAAAAACAAGAAATTGACAAAAGTTTTTACTTACACTTCATTTATTCCACTATTTACAGGGGCAGTGAATGCTTTCGGCTACAGAAAAAGCTTGTGTTATCCTTCTCGGACCATATTCTGCTTGTTTTTTACTTAGCTCTCAATTACCAGAGAACTAGGGCATAATTAAATTTAAAAAGCGTTACTAGAAGGAACGCAACTGCCGACGCTAAGAAAGAAAAACGGTAGATGATTCGTTATCAGCGTAGCGAAAGGACATTATCAGCGTGTTCACGCTGATAACTGTTTGCTCCAAACAAATAAAATTCTCTTCAAATTGCAGTTGAGGGATGAAAAGGACAGAGTGATTTTTTGTCCTGAGCTTTGTGTTATGTAATTGAATAACCATCAAAACCTTTAGACAATGTCTGGTCCGTGTGCACAGGCCAGGACAAAAATAGGTCCGATTTCGGGTGCATGTCTTCGATAGGCATACAGTGCTAACTGTCATGATTAGTTGTCCAGACGACGTACAAGAATTGAACTCTGCAAGAAATCATTAACATTCACAACGCGGAATCGGATGACCACGGACTTTTTTATATTCAGCAAGTAGGTGTTTGGTTCAGCGGGTTACATCATATTCTTGCAAATCAGTTTTATCAGCTTCTACGTGATAGATTTATGTAAATAGCAAGCGTTGTGGCATAGCTACGTGTATGTATGTGCATGTGTTTGTCCAGATTATTTAGTTCAAGATCTTTAGAAATTACGGAGCGAGTTTAGGGATTTAGTTTCTGATTGTCTGTGAGACCACAAAAATTTCGTCTTTCACTTCCACTTATCTTGTCGAGTCTAGGATAATTCATGCGATGAAAACTAAGGCAATTGCAAACTAGAAATTTGTCACGAAAAGCTTAGATGAAAACAAATTCACTAAATGATCTTGTGCCGTCGGTTTGAATTAATTCCCCAAGTTCCACCACATTTGAACGGGCAGTCTAGGCAAAAATTCGAAGTGATTTTGCTATTTAAGTTGGAACAAGCCCTAGTTGGCAAAATTTTTAAGCTTTAATTTTAATAGCTATATTAAAATGGACTGGGTGCCAGGAATCCTGATCTTTGGCCACTAAAATACAGTCTAGTCTCACAGATCCTGGATGTAAAAAGCCGTGATTCTGAAATTTCTTTGCTTTGCATGCGCTGGATCGACAAATGTAAATCAAGAGGAAACCGTTGCACGTGATAGTTTGCTCTGTCAGGCGCTTCTAGCAGAAACTTTTAGCAGAAACGCAGTGATACCAACTCTCTTGTGCGAATTACTGTTCACTGTTCTTTAAGAACATTTAAGATTTCGAACGAAGTCAGTGACGCTTTTTGATTCCTAGCCAGGCATTCGTCGGACCAGTGTTTTAACGGTCTGCCTTTCAACAGCAGAATTTATGAGTGCTGACTGAAATGATTAAGGCACCGTATAAGCAAGGACTGTCAGAGCTGCTGGAAATGCTCTCATAATTTTGCTTAACAGTATCTGAAAGTATGACATATTGAATATTCATTTTGCAGATCGACAGTTACTTAAAAATTGACAGTTCCTGCAGTTTCAGGAACGGCTGAACAAAATGCCAATGGGCGTCAGAGGAAGAGCATTTCGTTGGATTTTTCAGCGAAAACTGCGACTTTGGCTACTACGAAATATGAAGTAGGGTCAAGCTTGTTTGTTTTATTGTTGTGCTGAAAGCTATCCGCTT